TCAGGATGTGTTTTCACAAAACAACTACACTGATGAATATATAAACCAGATAGGGTCAGCAATTTATATTTTTTAAATAGGGGCCGACATGAATCTGTCTGTTTCAAATTGGCTATCGCTCTGATGCATTTCTTCTGAGTTATAAAAACTCTGTTGACCAGAGCACAATTGCCCCATACAATTAAACCATACCTAAGTACAGAAGCAACATATCCGTGGTATGCTGTAAGAGCAGTTTTTTCCCCTGCTGTATTCTTAAGACGTCTTAATACATAAATAAATTTTTCCAATTTTATACAAACACTCTCAATATGTTGTTTCCAATTACAATGTCTATCTAATATTATACCCAAAAATTTTGTATGGTCCGTTTCTTGTATATTTTGATTTTTATAGTCAATATTTAATTTTAGTGGTTTAGTTTGATAGTTACAGAACTGAACGTAGGTTGTTTTAGTCAAATTAACTTTTAAGTCATTGCTATGTAACCAGTCATGGACTATTTTAATGGCTGTATTAATAGTGTCATTGAACATAGAAGTATTTCTATTACATGGTATTATAATTGATAAGTCATCAGCGAATAATATTGATTTATGACTTATAATATGTGGCAAGTCGTTGATATATAGAAGAAATAGGATGGGGCCTAAAATACTGCCCTGTGGCACCCCTGATTTGTTTTGTCGACAAGCCGATCTATAATTCAACATTTCTCTTTTCTCATTAATTTTATTTATTTCCACACATTGCATTCTGTTTGACAAATAACTATCAAGCCATAAAAGTGCCTGTCCTCTAATACCGTATTTTTCACATTTATTTAGTAAAGTACTATGATTCACCATATCAAAGGCTTTTGTCATATCAAAAAATACGGCCACTATTGGCACCTTATTATCAATATTCTCAACTATATTTTGAATTAATGAAAATGCAGCAAGTGTTGTAGATTTATTTTTTTGAAATCCGTTTTGTTCCTTACAAATTATATTGTGCTTTCCTATAAAACTTAAGAGTCTTGACTTAAAGGCCTTTTCAAAAATTTTTGATATTATAGGTACAAGGGTAATAGGTCTATAGTTATTTAAATCTAGCTTATCGTTTTTCTTGTATAAAGGTTTTACTATAGAGTACTTTAGTTTAGTGGGAAATGTACCACTTGTAAAAGACATATTAGTTAAATATGTCAGTACTGTAGTCAGAATTGTTGCACATGACTTTAATACGTAAGTCGATATATTGTCGAATCCTACTGATTTCGTATTATTTAGACTCATCAATATTCTATATATTTCAATTTCAGTACAAGGATAAAGAAAAAGGCTACTGCTTACGGTATTACAGATTTTCGGTGGAGTTTTTTTTATAGGTGATTTATTGGAAAGACTTATAAAGTAGTTATTAAAAGAATTCGCAATGACTTTCGGATTAGTTTCAATTGTTCCGTTATGTAATATAGTGTCTATACCTCTATATATTTTAACGCTATCTGTTTTATCTTTAATTACATCCCATGCCGCTTTACATTTGTTTTTGGCTTTATCTATGGATTTGAAATTCGATATCCTTTGAGATGCAGATATACATGATTTTAAAATTTTATCATACTTTTTTAACCGGTATTTTGTCGAGTTTGTTTTATTTTTATAGAATTCTGATCTTAATTTTCGTTTTGTAATCGTAGATTTTTTAATTCCAGGTGTAATCCATTTAGGTTTAGACGTATTTGTTTTAACTTTGAGTCTAATTTCAGGAAAGCAAAGATCATAATACATGCTCAATAAATCATGAAATATGTTAAATGCAGAATTCAGATCCTTTTCATCATATACTTCATGCCATGAAATGCTAGATATACATTGTTTGAATTTTTTAATATTATTATTATTGTAGTCCCTTTTCATAGTATACCAGTAATCGATGAATCTTTTCTTTTTAGGTATTTTATATTCCAGAATTTGGCATGTATTGTGATCAGATAAATGTACCTGATGAGTGGAGCCTTTACTATCAGGAATGTTACTCATAATAAGGTCAATGCAGGTCTTAAGCCTCGTCGGTTCTTTGATATGTAATGTAAGATTGTAATTTGATAGAAGATTTTTCAATTGTTTAGATTTATTGCTATCAATTAATATATTTATATTAAGGTCACCTGCTATAATAAATTTTGTTTTATTCATTTTTGATGTCAATTTGTATAATAAAATGTCAAGTTTGCTAAAAAATGAATCGAAATTATAATAATCTGGTATTCTATATAAACATATTATTACACTATTAAAATCTGGTACTTCTATTCCACAGCATTCAAATGTCTTTTCTATTGACATGTCAGTACATATTTTTAATATTTTAAATTGAATTTGCTTTTTTATTAATATGCAAACCCCTCCCCTTTTTTGATTTCTACAAAATGAAGATGCGACACTGTATTCTTTTAGGCTTATGTTTGCCTCACTTCCCTTTTTAACAAAAGTTTCTGAAAGACATAAGATGTCAATAAAAGTATTTTTATCTTTGAATTCACTTAAACACAATTCTACGCTATTCAGTTTACCTAGAAGTCCCTGTATATTTTGATGTAGCAAGATGATATATATTATTTTGATTTATAGTTTTGGTCTCGAAATGAATTATTCAATCGTTTTTTTGTTGTCTCTGAATTTTTACTTGTGTTAATTTGGTCATTACTGATTTTTTTAAAATAGAAGGGTATTGTTCCTTTTTTAGGCAATTTTGGTGTGGAACTAGGGATTGAGTATTTTATATACCATTTATGGCGTAAGAGTCCAACAGTACTGTTATTAATATTTTTTTTAACATATTGTTTTTTAAACATTGGTAAATATTGGTTTTCATAGTCAAGTGTATCTATATAGTAGTTTAATCTTTGACACAGTGTTTTTAAATAAGTATGATGATTAAAATTATTATCATTATTATAAATATATTTACAATTTATGAAATTATGACTTATATATTTAAGCCAACTATTCAATTTCGATTCATTTAAGTAGTTATTTTTATTTACTCCCAATATAATTACATTACTCTTGTTTAAGTATTTCAAAACTGAAGATATTTCGACTTGCAACTTTACGATATTATTATCATTTTCGCCAACGCCAATCACAACGTAATCATTTTTTGATGGATGCAGTTTATAGCAAGATTGTAATATGTCTCTGGTGAGCGCGTTGGGTTTGGTAACACTTGAAACTGTGTACTTATTATATTGTGTATTTTCTCTGGATGAAATTAGTTGCGAAGCCAATCCAACACATTGCTGGTCACCAACTATAAAAATACGTTTCTCTGACTTTTTGTTGTTCAGAATATTGTCAATTGATTGCTTTGTCACTGATTGTGTCTTGCTTGATAAATTTACTTGTTTGTCATCAGGTTGCATCAGGTTGAAATTATCATGTATATAGGAGACGTTTCCATAGTGAAACATCTTAGAAGTTGGAGTTTCACAATCGAAATTAGGTTTTGTTTTTTTTATGTTCTCCTTTCTAAAGATTTTGTGCTTTAGCTTCTTACTGCGTGTTGAGCCTGTCAGTATAGCATTCATATTACTTATTAGTGATTGCTTTTGGTCAAGTTCCTTTTTAAGCGTTGATATTTCCAATAATAATTCGTCAATTTGGATGTTAGCACTCTCTAACTGAATTTTTAAAGTATCTCGTTCCTGTATAAAATCCTCCATATCATAATTTAATCCTGTTGATAGATCTGGAAGGCTTGATGCTTTGTGAAATTCATTTCCACTACTAGTCGATGAATAGGAACTGTTGTATGTAAAATTCTGCATCGGCTTGCGTTTGGTAATATTCTCAAAACTCATTTTTAATATTTATTATTAACTGAATTATGCACAGAGTAAAAGAAAATAATATTCTGTTAAAAATAAAAAAAAATTTTTTTAACTTTAGGCTGTAGCGAACCCAGGATGAAAGTGTCGTTCCAAATTAAATATTACAATGCGCTATCCACTACGCCACCCAGTACTTCAGACGTGGTGTTGAAAATCAGCTTCGTTAGGTGTTATTGTTACGTTTGTAGTGTAGTTAAATGTTTGTACGATGACTCACTGAAGATAGGTCTGGTTTATTACCATATTGAGCAGCAGCGGATTGTTTTGGGTGTTTTGAAGGAAGCTGACGTGATGAGACGGTGATATTTTAAATAAAATCCAAAATATGTTCACAGCACTGTATTGTCTCCGATGTAGCGGCGAGAAGAAGGAAAAAATGTTGCCATATTACATAAAATATAAATTCTATTTTAGTGTTGCAATATAAAAAGTTGCAACATGCTGCGGCCTCACAAGTAATGAATGCATATGCATCTTAAATTACAAGTATATAGAAATTTTGACAATTTTAGTTTGATAGATACATAAACATTTCTGAACACACTGTATAGGAATTATTATTTATTAATATGTATTCCTCATATATGAATGTAAGGAAGGCAAGTTTAATATTTCAAACATTATTAAGTAAATAGTTTAGTAATGTAATAATACCCACGTAACAATTATGCAAATATACTATAACAGAGTTGTAAATTAAAGATGCTTGACTTCTTCACATAAGTTTCAACTTATTATAAATCTTATACATTACAATCAATGATAATCTAAGTTAGTAACAATTAATGTTTTTTTTTAAACATAAAAACAAACATAAGTTTTCTCTTATTATAATTTTATACATTACTATCAATGACAATCTAAAGTAGCAACATAAAAACAAACATAAGTTTTATCTTATTATAAATGAATGCCTTTCTCACTTGAAATCAAAGTTAAATTCTAAGATAACATAGTTATTGAGTACAAATTACTATTATATTATATAACAAATACAAAGTATAATTAAAATTAAAAGAAAAACCTTATTTCTTATTTTGCGACTATTACAAGTACACATTATATTTATTCAAAATATATTTATATTAATCTTATATATATAATACTAGTTAATGAATTAATCATAATTATCAGGTATTGGTAAGACACATATTTTATGAATTGACCGAATATGAGTTTTATTAGTTGGAGTCTTAACTTCTACAGCTCTTACATTGCCATCATGTCCAGGGAGTACATTGATAACTCTTGCCATTGGCCATGACATACATGGGATTTTATCCTCTTTTAAAATTACAAGACTGCCAGTTCTTACATTTGGTGTTTTATTTTGCCATTTAGGTCTATTCTGTAATATATTTAGGTAATATTTATGCCAAACCTTCCAGAAGTTTTGTTTTAAATTGGTACACAATTGCCAAAATTTTAGTCTAGTTTGTGGTATTTCACTTACATTTGCTTCTGGATATGTAGTTAATGAATTCCCTATAATAAAGTGACCAGGTGTTAAATAACAATAATCACTGGGATCTGAGGTCAATGGCAAAAGAGGTCTAGAATTGAGCACAGCCTCTATCTCGGTGAGTATGGTATTCAGCTGTTCATACGTTAATACATGTTTTTGTAACACTCTTTTCAGGTGGAATTTTGTACTCTTTACAGTCGATTCCCAAAGGCCTCCCCACATAGGTGAATAACTAGGGATAAAGTGAAAGGAAATCCCATTTTGTGAGGCAAATTGGTTCACCTTTGTTTGGTGGCTCTGTGATGACTGCAAAGTATAAAGTTCAACTAATCGATTCCATGCGCATTTAAATGTACTAGCATTATCGCAGTGAATATCAGTGGGCAGTCCGCGTCTAGAAATAAGTCTTCTTAAGCATGCTAGGAAGGTTTCAGTGGTTAAATCTGAGGCAAGTTCCAAATGAACAGCCTTTGTTGTGAAACACACGAATACGCAGATATAACCCTTGCCTATTAAGGATCGCCTAACGCGCGAGAGTTTAACCTCTATCGGACCAGCAAAATCCACTCCGATTTTTTCAAACGGTCTACTAGTGACAGTTACTCGATTTCGAGGCAAAGAGCCCATTAGCTGCTTGGCAACTGTAGCTTTGTTCCTAAAACAGGTTATGCATTTGTGTGTAACTTTCTTAACTTCAAACAAGCCATTGACAATCCAAAATCTTTGATTTAAATTCGCAAGCACAAGCTTGGGTCCTGCATGTAGCAATTTTTCATGTTCACTTCTTATAAGCAAGTAGGTAATATAGGAGCCTTTGGGTAAAATAATGGGATGTTTCTGAGTAAAAGCTATATCAGCATAGTGCAGCCTACCACCTACTCTTAAAAGTCCTAGCTCGTCAATGAAAGGATAAAGATTTGATAAATTGCCTTTCACATTGTTTCCCTTAGTTATAGAATCGATAACAGATTGAAATAATTTATTTTGCTCGTATTTAATTAAGGTCATTAACGCATTATTTAATTCAGAAGTACTTAGAAAATTTGACTTAATTTTACTATTACTTTTATTTATGTTATTTAAAAATCTCAATATATGTGCAAGAAGCCTGATTATTTTATTTATATCTGAGTATTTATGTAATCGTTCAATGATATATGCAAGCGGATTGACATTTTGATAGACCAAGTTGCTGGAGAATGACAAGCAGGGTTTTACTTCAGCAGGCAATTCAGCAGGCACCTTATTATTATCATCCAACAAAAAATTGTACTCACTGTTTCGTAGGAATGCAGGGCCGTGCCACCAAAACTTATTGTCTCTCAGCTCGCTCGGTCTTGCTCCTCTGCTGATGATATCGGCTGGGTTTTCAGTAGAGCTGACAAATAGCCAGCGCCACCTAGCTGTGTTTTGACGAATAACATTCACTCTGTTCGCCACGTAAGCTTCAAGCTTCAATGACTCGGTTTTTAGCCATGCAAGAACGATTTGAGAATCGCTAAACAGATAAATATTCTTTATATGCGTTTTAAGCTTTAAAACTTCATGTGTTTTCATTATTAATTTTGAAAGTAAAAGCGCAGCATTAAGTTCTAATCTGGGAACTGTCGAGTCTTTTTTATGAATGGGATTTATTCTTGATTTGGAACAGAGTAAATGTGTATAAGCAGTACCTGATGAACATATGTATCGTAGATACACACAGCAACCGTAGGCAGTCGTACTCGAAGCATCTGCAAAGCCGATCAGTTCAACCGTATGTGCTTCTGAAATGTCTATATTTCTATCTAGTAACAGAGGTTCCATCATAGCTAGATCACTAGTGAACTGAAGCCACTCCTGGAGAATATGTGGAGGTGGACTATCATTCCAATTAGTATCTGATATCCATAGTTTTTGCATGATAGCTTTTGCTGTCACTACAATGGGGCTTACAAAGCCCATAGGATCATAGAACCTACCTATATAGCTTAGTATCCTTTTTTTTGTAACATGTGTAGATTCAAATGGCTCCGGAGATGAAATTACAAACTGATCTTTTTTTATATTGATGCATAATCCTAATGTTTTCATAGTATAATTATTTTCACTAAGATCTCGACTATCAAACTGTTGTTCACTCAATGAAATATTAGACAAAATTCTATCATCATTTGAAGACCATTTGTGAGTAAAGAAACTTCCTAAACTGAGTAAATTGCACAATTGGTCTTTTGCATCAAGAGTAGTTTTCAAGTCATTGTCAGAATAAATGATGTCATCAACATAAATATTGTTTATTATTATTGCGGATGCTAGAGGATATGTGTCCTGATGTCTAATCGCTAACTCGTGTAAACAACGCGTGGCTAAATAATTTGATGTCTTTAAACCATATGTAACTGTATCTAGTCTAATGCACCTTATGGGTTCATTAGGGTCGTCCCTCAGAGTATATTTTGGAGAGAGGTAAATTTAGGATTTACTTTTACATTCCGGAACATACGTTTGATGTCAGCAGTGAATGTAAACTTGCCTAATCTAAATAATAAAATTATATCGAATAACTCACGCTGGACCACAGGCCCATTTAATTGTAAGTCATTTACTGAAATTTTCTTATTTGTTTTCATAGACCCATCAAAAACAACTCGCAGTTTGGTTGTTTTACTATTCATGTTAATGACTGCGTGATGGGGAAGAAAGTACACTGGACTTCTATTTGAGTCATAGCACTCAATATCCACATAATGGGCATGTTTGAGTGATAAATATTCATGGATAAATTGCTGATATTTTATAAATAATTGAGGGTTAGAATGCAATTTCTTTTCTAAATTATTAAATCTTTTGACTGCAAATTTAAATGATTCACCCAGAGTTTCATCAACTTCTGAGAGGGGTAATTTTAAGGGTATGGCTACTTCAAATTGATTATTTTCCAATTTAACAGTATTTAAAAATGTCTGTTCGCAGAGTTCCTGTTCTGAACTCTTCTCAGTATAAACTTCAGGAACCCTTTCATGAGACCAAAACTTATTAAGCATATCCCTGATATCTAATTCACATTTCAGCACAACTTTGTTGCAACTAGGTTTATATATATAATGGGGCAGAGTACCTCCGATTACGTCACCCTTTTTTTTTTTTTTTTTTTTTTTTTATCGTGTGGAAAAATCTTCAAAAGACCGTCACCCCGCCGGAGGGATGGCGAGGTGGTGTGTGGGACTTGTACCCACTAAAAAACCACACGGTGTACCTACGAGCGCCTATGCCGGAGCCAGGGGATTCGCAAGTGCATTCTACCCCAGCTCCGACGGCGACGGCCCGCCCTGTAGATGTTGTAGGGCAGGCCCCATCTCGTTTAGTGGTTAGGGCGACCTATTTCGCCCTACTCCATTGTGGAGGCGTGTGGGTACACGCGCACACCTCCGGGGCCTTTGGATTGGGGGGACTGCCTCCCTCAAGGCAGTCACCCCGGCCCCAGTGGGGGATAGAGGGGGGCGGAGTTGGATACGCTCCCACCTCTAGGCCTGGCTCTTCTGCGGCGGAGGGAAGCGGGACGAGCTGACTCCCGCTCCCTTTCCGCCGCCTCCTTCCGCGAGATAACTTCCTCGCAGAAGGAGCTCACCGCCAGCCACGATCTCTCGCTACTGACCATCCTCCGAACTAAATTCGGCAGCGAGAGATCGTCCCCCACTATTCGTGTGAGGACACGGCGCTCACTCTCAAACGCTGGACATATTTCCAGCGTGTGTTGCGCCGTGTCCTCTACACCTCCGCATTCGTGGCAGCCGGTCGTCGGCTCCTTCCTCGCCACATGACACAGATACCGCCCAAAGCAGCCGTGCCCGGACAGTATCTGTGTCATGCGGTACGTCAGTGGCCATCTCCTATTCATCCACCTTTTGAGGATGGGACGGACAGCCTCGACGGTCCTCAGGCCGGCCGATGGACTGGCCAGCCTTTCTCTCCACCTGATCCTGAGGATCCGCCGAAAGTCGGACCTCCGCGCTCCAATCTCATGGCCAGCGGGTGCCTCCCCCATGGAACGTCGCTCCGCGCGCCAGTGATACACTGACGCGTGGAGCTCCGCTACCAAGTCCCACGGAGGAGACCCCGCCAGCAGACCCGCCGCTTCCCCGGATATGGTGCGGTAGCCTCTTATGGCCCGTATGGCCATGACCCTGTGTGGCCTGTTGAGGCAGGCCACATTTTCCCTACCTAGGGCCCCCACCCAGATGGGGGCCCCGTACAGGGCCATGGACCGCACCACGCCGAGGTATAGGCGGCGGGAACCTTCTCCCGGGCCCCTCACATTTGGCAGCAGCCAGCTAAGAGCGCCGGCGGCTGCCATGAGGCGAGGGACCAGGTTCCGGAAGTGAGCGCGGAAGCTCCAACGACTGTCCAGGTCAAGCCCCAAGTATCGAATACAGGGCTTGACCCCCACCCTCTGGCCACTGACGACCAGCTGGGCATCCGGAGGTGGCGCACGCCGAGGCCCATGAAAACACAGGACCTCGGTCTTCTCCAGCGCCACCTGGAGCCCAAGCCTTCTTATACGACCGACGACCAGCGCCACGCATGCCGTGGCAAAGCGGGTAGCCTCCAGTAGGTCCCGCCCCCGGGCAGTGACCAAGGTGTCATCCGCGTAACACACAAGGTCAGTGCCCGTTAAAAGGGCGCCCCGCAGGTTCCAATCATACCCGATGTTCCACAGGATCGGGCCCAGAACCGACCCCTGTGGAACACCGCGTTGCATTTCCCTCGACACTACAACGCCGTTCCGCCCCGTGCATAGCACAGACCTGTCCTCGAGGTAGGCCCCGATCACGTCCCGAATGTAGGGAGGCGCGCGATGGTATTTCAGCGCCTCCCTAATAGTCGCAAAGGGCAGGGTGTTGAAGGCGTTCTTTATGTCCAACGAGACCGCCAACAACACCCCACCCTGGGACGTCGCCTCTTCCGAGAGGGAGCGCACACGCGAGATCGCGTCGATCGTCGAGCGCCCCTCTCGGAACCCGAACTGCTTCGGGCTGAGATCGGGACCTACCCGGGACAGGTGTTGGACGAGTCGGCCCGCCAAGATTCTCTCGAAGAGCTTGCCGATCTCGTCCAACAGCACTATGGGGCGGAACGCCGAGGGAACCACCGAACCTGCAGGGTGCTCCGCTTTGCGGAGCAGGACCACTCTACCCGCTTTCCACTGATTGGGAAACCGTCCCGACTCCAGACACGCGTTGAACAAGCGCCGGAGTCGGTCCCCTAGGGTGTTTAGGGCCAAGGCCAGGACGCGGCCGTGGATACCATCCGGACCCGGGGCGACATTCTTGCCCCGGCCGATTACGTCACCCAGGTGAGTGCTTATAAGGTATACTCTAGGCTGCTGCATGAAGCTGTTGCCCACACATTCTACCGATGATGGCTGTTGTGAGCTGATCAACTGCGGCATCACGGATAGTTGTGTGGGTCGCTGGCTCCCATTCAACACCTGGAAGAATACATCAGAACCGATCAACATGTCTATCTCACCTGGTGCATGAAACTTGTCATCAGCAAGCATTGCATCAATAGGTATATATATATTTTGTAAGTCAATTTTGTTTTGAGGTAGGTTGCAGGTGATTTGATCTACCACATGACAATTAACTGTAGTTTCAAATGCTGATGTTAAGGAATGAATTTGTATTGGAATGCAATAATTGACCATACTACTTTTATTAGCTATGCCAATAATACTTATTTTGCTCTCATTTGGTGTTAAATTTAAAATATTTACAATTTTTGTTGTAATAAAGGATATTTGGGAGCCGCTATCTAGTAGCGCTCGTAAATGAAATTCAGTACCATCTCTTCCGTTCACCCTTATCTTTGCTGTGGGAAGAAGTACATTATTATTAGTACAATTGCTAGTCAATGTGACTGGTGGTGCCGGTGTTACAGTATTGCAGTGTAACAGAGTGTTGTGAGAGCCCTTGCACTCTGAACACCGAAAGTGAAATTTACATCGGCCCATGTGTTTGCCCAAGCATATGGTACACCTGTTATTTTCTTTAATAAATTGAATTCGATCATTTACTGGAATTGATTGAAATTTTTTACATAAAAATAATTTATGGTTCGACTTACAGTAGTTGCATGACGACATTGTTGTAGCATGTGCTGTCACTTTCCCTGATGATTGATGTTGCAAAGTATTGTGACCCTGCTCGGCATTCTCCAGCGCCAAGGCTCTTTTTTCTATAAAGCCGAGGAATTCTCCGAGCATAGGCTTGGTGTTATGATCACGCTCCATTTGGTATGCACGTGCCGTGAACGGATCTAATTTACGACACAATATACATATCAAAATTGGGTCCCACTTAAGGACATCAGGCTCATGATTTTTAATAGCAGCTAATTGTTGTCTAACACATGACACAAACTCCCTAAGATTGGTGGCCGTTGACTTGCTTATATTTTTGAGATCTAACAATGTATAAATATGGCCACTAATTATTTTATATTTATTGTCATAGCGGTCTTTTAAAATTTTTAATGCATCGTTATAGCTGTCACTAGAGATAGGCAAATTTTTTATTAAATCAAGAGGCTCATCTTTCAGAAATGATCTTAAGTAATACAGTTTTTGTATTAAATCTATGCTCCGATCATTATGTATCAGAGATGTAAATAAATTTATAAAGGGTACATATTCTGAAAACTTACCATCGAAGCTTTTGATTGAAATAGCTGGTAGTGACATTCTTGTGGCCGGTGGATGGGAAGGTTGCGTGAAGGTTTTACGTTTTATCTCTTCGTCCAATCGAGTCAAGATACGAAAGTAATTTTCCTCTATCAATTCTACATTTTCTACCTCTGAATCTTTTTCGTCAAAAGTTAGAATATCCTTGCAGTAAGTTTCGTATTCTTGAAAAGAAGTAATTAAGCGTTCACGTTTACCTTTTAGATATTCGACAGAATACGGAGTGAGATCTAATTCGGTTAATTTCAAAAGACGCGTGATATTGCCTTTCACGTAACCGCGACCGGCAATTTTTTTCTTTAATTCTTCCTCCATCGCGTACCGACCAATCCACCAGTTACAATTACAATTACGATTGAGATACTACTTAACAAGGTTATTACTATGCTTAAATAAACTATTTTAAACACTTTAAAACTTTCACAAAACAAAGTTTCGAAACAGAAAAAAAATGGCGTTCGTAACTTGGAACTTGCTGTCACGAATAAAATGTAGCCGGAAGCGTGGCCTTTTTCTTACGGGGTTCTCATCTACAACCAGACGAATCTTGCCGAAGTAGTAAGCTTGGTGTCGAATAGTACGACGTAACTTGTTGTTGTCCCGTTCACACTTACGTATCGTTGAATAAGTCTATCGCACTTCTTTATTACGCTTGACACTTGAGTGACGTTTGACTGAAGTGTTGATGTTGCGTTTCGTTTTTTCTTGTGTTAAAAGATATCTTCTCTCTTCTTCTGTATGGTAGTATTGCAGCGCGTGACGAATATTCTTATTTCTTGCGTACGCGTACTGCCACCCAATTTGAATAAAAATGGCTACCAATTTACTTGCGGAGAATGTTTTGCAGCACTTATGAATTTGCACCATTCACCAATCTTCTTGTTTCTATATATCTCGAAGGACCATGAGCAGCAGCGGATTGTTTTGGGTGTTTTGAAGGAAGCTGACGTGATGAGACGGTGATATTTTAAATAAAATCCAAAATATGTTCACAGCACTGTATTGTCTCCGATGTAGCGGCGAGAAGAAGGAAAAAATGTTGCCATATTACATAAAATATAAATTCTATTTTAGTGTTGCAATATAAAAAGTTGCAACACATATATGGTGACGAATTTGCTCGATGTTAAGTGCGTGATTCGTGATGACTCACAGTTGTAGTTTGAATTTCTTCGTTGTTATTGCACTTTGATTAATATTGTCGATAAACTATTAAATTTATTTAAAAACAGAATTTGATACTAGTTTGTACTCGTTTAGAACTTTATTTTGATGTAACTTTTAAATCGGAGACAAAACTTT